CTTTCCTAATGTCCATCATAAAACATCCACAGACTTTCCCTCACACATTGAAGAGGTCACCCCTTGTTGAAATCCAAATAGGAGAGCTCAGTTGCACACTGATTTATGTTATGAAGAGGTTATTTATGAGCTAGAACAAAGCCGGAGTTGAAGTGAGCTCCTTTACTGCAGTTTTTGAATGTTTAAGATGGCAGGTGATTCTTGATGAAGCATAACCAACCAAATCAACTACTTACTGGTTTTATATGAAAGAGAGTTCCAGGACTCTCTCAAGGTACTGTCTCAATACACTGTTTTCAGTGCCATGATATATTAGGGAGGTGCTTTAGACATGAGTGAGCTGAAAGTGACTCTAGTATTACTCCAAAACTATCCAATTTTGGGTAGGTTTGGAGGAATATTTAGAGGCAGTGGCCTAATAATAACCTAGTAAGCATGGAATGTAGTGGATGGAGTCAGTGGTTAAGGGCAAGGAGGGGAAGGAAAGCTGAGGACAAAGCCAACAAGCAGTTTGCTCTGGCAGAAGCCTTTGAGGAAACTTATTCTACTTACAGCACAAAGAATTGTAATTAAAATATCTGCCAACTTCTGTGCTAGAATTAAAAAATACTTTGCAAAAGCAGTTGACTGTAACATTTATGTGCTTGTGAGACTTACCAGGCTACCAAAATTCATGTACCATCTGTAGTTAGATAGCAGGACCTAAGACAGCCAGGTGTGAACACTACTCAGAGAAATGTAGTTTGCAGTGTATTGTGAATTTTTGTCATCAGCCATAAAGCTGTGAGCCATGAGCAGAAGTGAGCAAGTACCTAGGCTTTTTATGCTGTTATAAGTGAAATAACAAGGCCCATTACCAAAGGGATGCTGGTACAAAGCACAGTGTCCTCAGGAATTTTCAGTGGTATGCTGCACGGAGAAGAATAATAATACATTTGTTGGAAATACTTCCTGGTCCACATCTCACGTATAGAATTAACCCTGTATATCCTCTACATATAAATATAGCTCAGTGAAGGAAAAGATTCTTTAGTGGGAATGACTGTCATTATCCTGCTGAGTTTTTTGTTTATCTGTAACTATGGCTTATAAAACAAAAGAAGATCTCAGGTGAATAGAATTAAGACAGTAGTGTTGCACTGGGGGTGTTGTCCCTATGTCTCTGATGTCAATAGCAAGAAAACATCTATAGTCACATTTAAATTAACTTACCTCAACAGCTGTTAGATTATCTGTTCTGATTTTAGCAACCACTCAACTAATTCTATACTGGCAGGATCAATTCACATGAGCTCATTTAGTTAATAATTCTAGGTACAGGCAGTAGAAAAAGATGTGTAACATTATTTCTAGTTTTGGACAAACTGATCTCATCACCAAGAATCCCATCTCCTCTGAATTACTTCTTATTGAATCTCTTACCATTTTACATCTGCTGTGTATTAAACAATGCTGAAGCTCAGATGTCTGATTTTAGAACCTGAATTTAAAAAAGCCACTCTGTCTCTGCTTACCAGGTTCTTCTATTTCTGCCAGGTTAATTTTCTTATTACTTGGGCTTGTAAGTCTTATATTAACAGAAGTTACTTTGTTGTCTCTGAGGATCCAACAAAAGCGGATAGACACTGTTTTCAATCAAAACACTAGATTCCTGTAAATGATATTTAATTTTACAGGGGCACATTCTGATGGCTTTTGGCAATTTAGTGCCCTGGCAAAGGTGATGGTCAAAAAAACCAGGGACTCTCAGAAATAGGTCATAGAATGCTATTTTTGATATCACTATTAAGTCATAAATATAGGGCTTATATGATGCAAGTATTTGCTTGAAACTTGGTAAATACTGAGTGGTGAACCACAGATACCCTTGGAATATCCCTGAGTATTGCTATCACTATTTCCAGTCTGTGATTCAGTCTTCTCTAAGTTAAGGAAGGCATTTTTAAACGTAGCCAAGCTGAGGTTTTGGGATGAAAACATACAGTACATTCATATCTAATTTGTGGACAGAATTCGCTGATGCCTGTGCTCTTAATTTGCTGGGTAAGCTCTTCTTTTACCACCAAGAACTTAGGCCTCTTCTGAGGTATGGAAAGCTTCATTACCAACTGCATGAAGGCTTGCTCCAGGAGAGCTTCTGAACCAACAAGATACAACACCATATCTATGACTTTTTGATGATTTTTAAAATTATGTTACATTTTTCCATCTGTTTTTCATCATTTAGGTTATAAGACCAAGTTGCCGTAAGGGAAATTATTGTTAGGGCAAGTATATGGGCACATCATTATTAAATACAATAAATTATTTTAATTAAAGTGCTAACATAGAAATGAATACTAGCCTTAGTAAGAATTTGCAATCATTTGCTATTGAAGTAACAATATGATTATGAGAATTCTGGTCTGTTTCTAAATCTTATTGCTGTGCCCAGCATTTGCTTAAGTTTATTTGCAGATAAAAATGCAAGTAATTATCAGAGAATCATAGGCACTGTGGTTCTTTCTAGGATGACATTTAGTGTTAATGAACCAATACACAGCAGTCAAATAGGGAACTGTTTGTCTATTTTATTAAAACCAAAACCAATAAGAGCAGAATTAAAAAAAAATAAAAAAAAACCAAAAAACCAAAAACCAAATGAAAAACAGGAACTGAAAAATCAGAGTTTGATTTTTTACAAAATCTTTGTTGTAATTTTTTGGAGGACAAAGGATCAGGTAGCTGTCTTCTTTTTTGCCATAGAGCTACTGACACTCTGACTGATTTTTCTCCCTGGAAGGAAGCTGTTGCCAGAATTCTTCATCCCACTGTAGGGCTCACATGTGATTAGTCAGGTGCTCAGCCAGACAGTGTTCACTTATGCAGTAATTCCAGCAGATTTTCAAAGGCTGCTGTCTGCCACAGCAGTCTTATTGCAGTTCTCATGAATAAACTGGGGAGGCATGAGCACAGAAATGGCACTATCCCAGACTCTCCTCATCTCTGTAGGATGCATGCATTTTGAAAAATCAAATTAAAAGCTGTATTAGCCCTGAGTGAAAAGTGTGAATATAAATATATTCACATGGAAATAGTTTAATAATAACTTAGAGAGAAAATATCTGGAATGTATCAGGAACACTGGATTGTTCACTGATGCAGCAGATCTGTTTAATCCTTGCTAGCAGCACTTGTGTCACTCAAAAAGAGAGAAGGCACAATGTAACCTGCCTTTCTTGCTGACCCTGTAAGGCAATCAGCAGAAGTATTGCTAGCCAGAGAGAGTAGTCAAGCACTTTCTTTCACGTGTGCTTAATTCTTCTTTCATCCAATTATTTATTTACCACAGCAATTTCTTAAATATGTGAATTCTTATGGTGGACCTAAAAAAATTGATGCTAACAGATTTCAGTTTGCACTGAAATTTTATGCCAGCAGAAATTGAAGCTGGCAACCAAAATCCTCACTGGAGTCTGGAAAGGAAAAGGGTAGTGTTGTCTGGGTATTTTAATCTCCCCTAAATATAGACTATAAGCTCTCATTCTAGTTTCAGAGCATTTGGAAAATATTTAACCTTGCTTTCTCCCCCCATCCTTTTCAATCAGGAAACATAAACTGGATGGTATTAGCTTTATTTCATTTTTTCTGAATGTCTAAATGCAGACACACAGCCCATACTATTTGAGATTGTCTTGAAGCACAGCATCTGTGATGATGATAGCACTAGTTCTTACACCTAAATATTTTTGCATTTTTTTTATATATACCATTTTGCATATGAATTGCTTTTATTCCTGCATGTAAAGGTTTATGGATTTATGGATTGCAGTGAGTTATCTCAATGTTTGGGTTTTTTGTTGTTTTTTTTTTTGGGTGGAGGGTGTTTCAGTTATATTTTTGAACAATTTTCAGTGAATTAGAAAATCTGAATGTTGGCCCTGTTGCTATAGTGTGGTATAAATCCATGTATTAATTTTTTCTAGCATTTTTACTCCCATGAAAGTTCAGATGTATTTTGGTGAGAACATTTGGGTTTTTAGAGAAATCCCTTTAAGTCTAGCACACGTATAACCCATTGATTTAGCCTAGTAATCTTTTTCTGGAATAAAATGCAGGATGGAGAAGCAAAATATTTCAAGTGTTATTTTTTAGCACTTAAAGTCTTCACATAAAATGTGTTTTTTTATTAAGAAATAGTTGTGGTGCACATAGTCTCTGTTCCACTCATTGTTTTACAGGTGCATATCTGGTTACTCAGAAGTGTCATAGGATAAAAATACGATATTCTCTTTGCCAGTGGCCCACACAGCCATCTGAAAACATGGCTGTGTATTTCCTAATAGTCTGGCATTGGTGAAGAGTGTTAAGGAAGGATTAGGGTCTGGGATGATGAGTGTATGAGCCTTGTTGAAAGGTAAATTGCTTCCCTGGGGACCTGCTGTTTGCCAAGGAGCAGTGAGAGCTGAGCTGGGGGAAGAGCATGTCCAGCCTGACAGGGGCCTCAGCAGCAAGGGAGGGCAGGTCTTGGTGCACCTTTGCTAAGGCTGTGCTTGTAGCCTCTCTGAGACAAAAACTCAGGTTTATAAAGGAAGAGACAGACAGCATCCTCCTCTGTTAGCAGGACTCCATGATGTGCTATCCTGCCAATGTGTTTTAAAAAAGCAAGTAATGGTGCAGAAAAACCATGGGACATTTGTTGTTTATGAACAAATTCTTGACTCAATTTAGTTTTCAGATATGGGCTTCAAAAAGTAATAGGGAAATGTTGACTTGTTAATAATAATTTACTAAAGTGTCTAGTTTTTTTGAGGAGCTGCAGCTCCTCAGGAAACATGGGACCCTTTCAACAACTGTCCTATAAATCAGATGTATGTTTGAGGGTGATCCGTTCTCTGAGTAAGCACTTACTTTTTAGAAATAGCAACCACTGTAAGTCAGTTGGGAGGGATGTGTAGACAGGTATCACATAGCTGCCCAGGGATGTTTACCAGTTTCACTAAGTGTTGTTTTTGTGACAGATTAAATCCAATGGTGAGCTGCTGATTAAAAATGTACAGCTGCGGCATGCAGGAAGGTACATGTGCACTGCTCAGACAATTGTGGACAACTCCTCAGCTTCAGCTGACCTTGTGGTAAGAGGTAAGCTTCTCCAGGTAACACAGAAATGTGGCTGGTTTTCACCTAGACAAGACACCAAAACAAGAGTGTTTCTGATTGTTTAGGATATATAATTTCTCATCAACAGAGGGCAGAAATTAAAATGAGAAGTCCATAAATGAGCAAAGTCATAAAATTCTACTCAGGGTACTGATTTGGTTGCAGACATTTAGAGATTTTGCATGTGTTTTCCTGAAAAGAAATAAGGATTTTTTAATATGGTGTTTTCCTTATGTGAAAGCAATTTTTATATAATTTAATTTGGTGTTCATTATTAAAAATAGATTTCAAGGATCATTTCAATGTATCTCCTGGATACATTTTTCTAAGTCACTTCTCATTTTTCATAAAGCTGTATGGATTAAATTATTGTGTATAATACTAGACCTACATTAAAAGGATTCTGAGTTTTCAAATTACAGAAACCAAGACATCTGAGGTTAAGTTTATCTCAGTTTTTCTCTGATTCATGTCTGTTAAGTGTTACTGTAGTCTCAAAATGCTGTTCTTGCTCATACAGTATACATCCTACAAGATCTGTTACAATGTGAAGTTTTAATAGCATGAGTTAATGACCTTTGGGCATTTTGCTCTCTTTTATGCCTGTGGGCATAACACATTCTGAAGTGCTAATGCTCTGTTTTGCTGATAATTCAGAACTGATATAACTTGTACATTGAGTTGCCTTGCTGCTGTGTTTTGCCCCACCTTGGAGTCACACCACAGAGCTGTGTAGCAGCTGAAGTATAGCTAGTGTCATGGTCCTGAGCTTCTGTTATCTCAGGTTGTTGTGCAGTTGAATATTTCTGTATTTAATTTTTTGATGGATATTAACAGCCCATGAAATGTCAGCAGTTTTGGGTAAAATGTCAAAGCAAATATGGTAAGTGATGAAACTACAGAATAGATCTGCAAAGTAAAAGAGTAGGATCTGTTCATATGGCTTAGTATTACTTAAGCAATTCCTTTTAAAAATTAAAAGACAAGGTGCTTTATCAAGCTTCTGATTCCCGTTCCAACCCAGTAATTAGAGTTTCTGAGAGACTATTTTGTAGAAGAAATTAACATTCATTTTATTCTCAGATTTTAATGCAATGAACACAGTTCTGCTTACAGCTGCCATTTTTGTGAGTGTAAGACTCAGCATCTTACCAGGCCAAGAGTAATTATCTTATGAAATATGACAAATGTGGGATTGTAGTTTCACTGCATTGGTAAGGAAGAGGCAACAGCAGAGAATGAAGACAGCTATGTTCCAGAGCATCTCATCAGTGGAGCAGTAAAGGATAGCCACTGTCACTGCAGGGACATGAAGGTGTTTTGTCTGTTCACAAAACAATTTAACAGTTCATGTGGATTGTTCTGTGTGATCTTGTTTAAATTGCTAGTGATGTTGGTCCACTGAAGACTCTGCAGCCCCTGCATGCACCTACAGACCTCACTGGCCCTGTGCTGGCCTCGCTGGAGCAGTGTTATAGATGTGCCTGCTTCCAGCTCTGGAATGGGGAATGCCTCCTGGATGTGCTTCAGGCCTGCGGTGTGGGTAGCTGCCTCTTGGGTGGACTACTTGGATATATGCAGCAGTTTGTCACCTGGATGCAGCCAGTTCACTGTCCCTGGTACCAGTATATCAGCACCTGGCTCTGCCCACTATACTGGGACCCAGTGGAACCGTGCCCCATTGCTAAAGCAACTACCAACCTTGGGGTTAGTTGTGGGTCCAGTATCAGCTTTCCTATGGAGCCTTTTCCTTTTCCTAAGGCCGTTGATGTTTCCTGAGACATGCCATTTTCAGAAGCTGATGCTGAGGTGAGAAGCTGTAAGAGGTGTCTTGAAGAAAGAAGGAGAGTTGTTGGGACTGATGAACCTTTCCATAGCTTCCAGCCTGAGGGCTTCTGAAGTGAACAGTCTTGCAGGAGAATGGGTCTTGCAGCAAAACTTACCTGTGTGTATCCTTAGAGCTGGGATAGGAAACATGCATGTTATCAGGTTGGAGAGTTAACCAACAACCTTCGTCTTAAAAATCAGCTCTTAACAACAATTTCTACTTCCAGCATCCTTTGTGAAGAGTAAGAACCCATTTCCACATGCAGTGAGGTATTTAGTCCTTACCTTGAAAGGGAGATCCAAGGAATGAAATTGCTTGCTTAAAGGATATATTCATTGAAACAAAGGAACAGCAATATATGCTAATATATGCTTTTGTTTCAGTTAATTTCATTTGAGTCCTTTGGCTCAGCTGTATGGAGAAAATAAAGAGGAGCTGAAAATACGTTTGGCACACTGTGTGTTTAGATCTGATGTAGAAATCTCCTTCCATTTTTTTTATTGTTTTGTTTTGATTCTCTGTGGTTTCTCTGTAAATACTGCAGAGAAATATATTATGGTATTGTTGGGTTTTTTTAATATTCTCTGGGACTTGTTCAATCAGGTTGTTGGATAATTATCTCAATAATGTTGGCATATTATTATCTCTGAATGTTGGAGCAGAAAATTCATCTCAGTAGTCCTGATGCATTGTATCTGGTTTTATACAGCAGTTAATATGTATCAGATAACTGTGTATCACATAAAACAGAAGCACAATAACAAAACCAGAACTTTGTAGGAACTTTGAACCTGATGAGGGTTTACCACATTGGGGTAATATGAAGGCCAAGAAAAATGGGAAGAGATCTATAGAAATCTCTTTTATGGTATTATTTTTCTCCAAAATAAGTTACAGGGTTTCCCACATAACTTGCAGCCAGAGCCTATATGGTACAAGCAGAAGTGTATGTTAAAGGTGCGCCCCCAATAAGGTCAGCATTAGGTGGAATTTGAGAAGGAAAATTTTTTGTGTTTTTTCCTGAGTTCAGTTTTGTTTAGTAAAAAGAGCAGGAACATTTTCAAAGTATCATCTTTTCACTTAAGATTATCTCAATATTGATGAGACAAGAATCATGGAAGTTTTATTTGGTAGTAATAAAATGCAAGAGCAGCTGTCCTCTGAATCATTCTGTAGATTATTAAAAGTTGATTAACTTTGATACTTTCAGCGTATTTAATTCGTTAATTGTGCTAATTTTTTTTTTTTTTTTTCCCAGGTCCTCCAGGCCCCCCTGGAGGTATAAGAGTAGAAGAAATTAGAGACACTGCTGTAGCACTTACCTGGAGTCGTGGAACAGACAATCATAGTCCTATTTCTAAATACACTATCCAATCAAAAACCTTTCTATCTGAAGAGTGGAAAGATGCCAAAACAGGTAAGAGTAATGCCAGAAGAAATAAAGATAGTAAGTTTTAAAGTATGATTGTTAGAAAGTTTGACTAATCAGAAAGTAATCAAGTAGAAGGAAACCAGGGAGGCTGTTGATGTTTGCTGCAGGTTTACTGTCCTGTCAGTGTCTTGTCAACGGTTTTGTTCCCAGCATTTGGAGGGCCTGAACTAAATATCAAGAATACAGAAAAGAACCAGCCAGAGTTGTTGCCTGTTTTTTTACCTCTTTCCTTGTTGTCTAAAACTTTCAACATCAACTACTGGAATCATTAAAATTTATTTACAGGTGAATTTGGATGAAAAGTGGATGTTTCTGTATTTGTTATGGAGAAAGCTGGTTAAAATTGTCTGCTTTTTCCTGGGAGCACACTAAGTTCCAATTGCATTAAAACTGGCACCCCTAGAGAAAACATAGCTAAGATTATCCTTCTAACCACTGGATGTCATCATTGTGCCAGAAAATTGCAGTTAAAGAGGAACATACCTGAGCACAGGACATGCTAACGTAAATTTTTTTGCAGGATTTAACATAAAAGCATAAGTTTTAAAATATTTTTAAGCTACTAGTATCTCTAAAGGCTTTATGATGGATAGCACTGTCACAAGCTATACAGAATTTTCCTATCAACATGTTTCATTATCCCACCCTTATAAATTACAACTTAAGTGCTTTCCTGTGGAATTAAGATATCACATACTCAGCATTTCTAAATACCAAGAACAGTAATAGTTTCAGTGATTGTCTTCCATTTAAGTTTTCACTTGAAACTACAGACATGTAAGAAACAGACTGACATATTGAACTGAAAATCTGTTACATTTTTTTAGAGTAAAAAGTTAGATATAGTAGGCCTTCTGCCTCAGTTCATATTTTTCTTTCAGACTATGTAGTGTATGAAGTTCGCTTGGATATGATTGCCTCCATCAGCCAGCACTGATATTGGTGATATGGGTTCCCCAGCCCCTTCTTATCTCTTATATCTTGTTTAATGGCTTCTGTAAAATAGATTTCTTTGAACTTTAAAACATTAATGTAGAAATTAGAGCTGTTCAAATAGCTGATTATTTGGTTCTGTAAAAATACATGCAGGAAGGAGAATCCTTTTAGACTAGCCTCTCTGTTATCATAATAAGTTAATTTTATTTCTTATTCATTCTTTATTTTTCAATTAAACAAAATAAGGAAATGTGAAGAATTTCAGGTGGCAACTGGTCCTGTTTTGTTTGTGCTGTGCATTACTGGAACTGGAAATGGAGGTGTAAGTGTTAACATAAGTGTTGGTTTCCAGTCTTCATTCTGTCTGACTCAGAGCAGAGACTTGAAACCACTCTTCTCACTTCTCGGGAAGATTCCCTACTTGCAATGTTATAGGCATGATGGGATGAACTTCTCTGCACCTCTGAAGTTCTCTGCTTCTCAGAATTACTTGGGACGGTCTTTGAGATATGCAGTCAGACTTCGAGTCTTACCCTAAAGAATGCTGAGTGGGATTTACAACTTGGGTGGGACGGGGAGGAATCTAGATTGTTGAATTCCTTTTTAAAGGCACTAACACAAAAGGTATACTTTATTAACTTCTGAAAAGTTGAAAGTAACTATTCTGGTGTTTTCAAAATAATTACTTTTTCATTTGAACCACACTTATGAAATTTGTTAAATAGATGATTCCCTCAAAATAGATAAAATCATCATAGTAACCATCACTGGCATCACTGCAAGCTTTTACCTAATTGCTGAGCTGCTCCCATTTTGATTCAGCGTTAGCTTTCAGATTAATGAAGCATGATGAACAGTCCAAATTGATCTGTCACCAAATGTTTAGGCTATCAGTTCATGCTGCTAATTTCCAATGTGTGAAACAAGAAAATGTACTTTTTGGCATTGCCTTTTGGAAATATTGTTGTTATTACTACTAGCATTATTCCCCCAACCAAATCATTCATCTCAGGTTTCATAATACTGAGTTGTGAAAGAAGTGTATTCTACATCACAGCATGGAAATATGTATGAATGGATTATGTAATAAGTTGTTTACATTTATGTTGCTCTTTCCAGTTAAGGGGATCAGTTTCTCATTCTGCCAAGTGTTCATAATTGTTCTGGGTATCTGTGGGACAGTAAAATTAAATCTAGAGATGAGACATAGCCCAGGAAGGACATTTAAAGAATGTTTAATTTATAACACAACTTGGATGACATGGGAGGTTTGCAATAGCTTTACTGACTAGACAGAAAAATAGTTTGAGTAAGGATGAAGCAGGGTGGTGGTCAGGTAGAAAGAAAAATGGAAAGTGTGTTCCTTTCTCCTTCAAGACCTCACTTTGGAATGAAATGTAATGATCATTAGGAAGAGGAAAGTGGTGTCACCATCTAGTGCTTACACTATTGTTGTCTGTGTTTTTTGCAGGCATTGCATTTATATTTTCATTCCAAATCAGCTGCCTTTCCAGTGCAGAATATCTCAGTTCTCATCCTTCTCTGAACACGAGACTCTAATTTGACAAACAGCTCCTGTTTGTATATAAATTAAAATCCTCTGTCTTTCCATAGCTGCAGACAGCTATGGAAACAACCCCTGTTGTCTGTGAATTGCAGACAGTCATGAGTTACTCATTTTATTTATGATAAAGAAGCTCATCCTTAAGACAATTACAAGTCTTTTCACAGGAATTGCAAGGACCTTTACATTTGTTGATCAGAACCAGATAGCAAGTTATAACATGCTCACTAATTAGGTTCACCAAATTAGGATTACATTTTATAAACTCATTCATCAATTGACTGAACCCTACATGTCGAGCCCTTGTCGGTCCACGTAATGAATTTTTATTTTACTGTTTCTGAATTACAAATTTCTCATTGCATTTATCTGTAGGTAAAATGAAATTCTACAGCTACAATATGTAATTAGTAAGGGAATCTCATAACTACATGCACTAGTTCACACCCAGTTAAAACTTACATGTGAATAAGGGTTTATCCAAGATAGTGTTATAGTTTCCAAATTCCCAGTCACTGCTGTGGGTATTCTTAGTAAAATGTGATATTCCTAATGTAGAATGTCAAGTTTCCTTCGGTTTTCTATGTGTGGTTGCAGAATAATGCAAGTTTTGTCACAATTAACCACACTGTTGCTGACCTAAGTGTGAAAATGCTGTTTTCTAAAGCAATTAATCTTTCTTTTTTAGACCCAGCAGATATTGAAGGAAATATGGAATCTGCTACAGTGATTGATTTAATTCCGTGGATGGAATATGAATTCCGGATAATAGCAACAAACACTTTGGGGACAGGAGAGCCCAGCATGCCATCGCCGAGGATTAGAACTGAAGGCGCTCGTACGTAAACAGAGAATGTCAGGGTTTTTTAAAATGTGTTTCTTAATTTTTACATTTTTGTTCACCAGTTTGGTAATTCTAGGCTTTATTAAAAAAAAAAAAAAGCAGTTTATAAGATCCAGTGTGCAGAGAATATATTTTCAGCCACCCACTACTACAGATTGTCGTAAGCAAGTACCAAACTATGAAGATGTGATGACATCAGAGCAGACAGAAAAGAATGATATGACAAATTTGTCTTCATTGCTGAAATGGAATCATACTGCATCTTTCAGAGATCCCCCACTGTATCTGTCAGCCAGGCTGTATGTGTATGAGTGTGTGCACATGTTTGGAAGATTGGTTCAGGACTTAGGAAAAAAAAACATGCACGTATTTAACAAGGAAAATGTCCATTTGCCATTTGGTTTGTATTCTAACTAAAGAACTGTCTTCTACTGGATAGTGCCAGTTTTCTGTGATTGCAGGTTTGGTCTGGTGTCTTCTTACATCATGTCATCCAACACAATGTATTCTCTTACCAGTCTGGTTGCTCAGTGTTAATAGCTCAGAGCATATTTAAGGATATTCTTCAGGCTCAGGCACATCTTTTTTGTAACAAATTCTCCAAAATGAGGACTTATATATTACAATTCCAGATAATACATTCTGGTTTGACTGTACAGAGGAGATAACAGCAGTGTCCTAGGGGTAATGTCCACTGCACAAAGACTGTGTCCAACAAAGCCTGTACACCACAGAGTAGCACCCACTTGCAGTCTAGATTTCTTTACAACTGTTTCCCATAGCTTGAGTTTTGAAACTAAAAATGAAAAACCAAAGTGTGGAAAACAGCTTTTGCAATTACACCTGCCAGGTCATAACTTTGATTAGATAGTATTTTCAAAGTAAAATGTTTTTGCATTGTAAATTTCAAAACATTCATTAAAGGCAAATTTGGTCCATTAAAATTTTGTTGCTTGGGGCAAAAGAAAAGAAATTGGTTAAATTATTTTGGATAATGAAGAAAAAGCCATGGAACTTGAATACTAAAGTAAAAGATAATCACTGCCTAGAAAATTGACTGCTAGCATCATATGTTTTATGACTCAAGAGCTTCATTTGAAGGCCCAAGAATCCATGGGAGAAGTCTGGTGCATGATAGACATTTACAAATGTTACGAAAGACATAGATAAGGAGAGAAATAATGGAATAGGGGTAGTGGGGAATGGGGAATAGGGGTGGTTTGCAAATAGGCAGTTTGCAGTGTGCTGTTACATTCATGGCATTCTTTGTAGCCTCACGAAAAATGGCATACTTTCCAGCTTTGTAGTAGGATGTACCTCTTTTGCAAGAAGTGGTATGTTTAGTCTGTTGTCTGATTCCTCGGGCACTGCACCATGCCCTGGCAGACTGTGTGACAGTTTTTGGCAAACCATGCAAACGGTAGTATAGTCTTCTAAGGCATCAGTCAGCACTTCTTGTCATGACAAAATAGGGTATAAATAATATACAGTTTACAGATTAACTTCTTCACCCAAGTGTGTTTTCTGCCAGGAGCTGGAATTTGTTATAAGCATCAGTAGGATTTGGGTTGCACTGTCAATGTCAAGGGTACTACAGAAGCAGTATGCACAACTCTATGTATGTTTTCATGTAATTCTGGAAAAGGTAAATAACAAACAAAAATCCATGTCTGCATATTGTAGTTATTGTTAACATTTTCTGTGTTAAACAGCAACAAACAGTGCTGTGTCTTTGTTGTACTATGTGAGTGACAAATAATGTCTGTTACACTTAAAGTTGTCAGCATGTTTTTCAATTTTGAAGTCTCTCTTCTGGTAGATAACTCATTTCAGTAACTTATTAACATGCTAAGACCGTGTGCAATGTTTTTTATTTTTAATGAAACAGCTTGCTTCATCAATAACATTTCACAGTGATTTCTTGTAATTCAATGGGTCAAGGTTTTATGTATTTTAGTTTCTGAGTGCATTAGAGTAATTGTCTAAGTGTAGTTGTCTGTGTTAGTTACCTGGTCTTAAAAGAGAGAGAAACCTGGGTTTAATGGTTGAGAGAATGAGAAAGTTTCTTTTGAAAAGAATGACTTGTTAGACTTTAAACAGTCAGGTTTTTTCTGTTCTTTGGCAGTTTATCTATCTATCTTCTTTGACTACCTAAACATTCTAGCAACCTTCTGCTTCTAACATAGCTCTAAAGCTATATATTTATAATAGGTAGTGCAACTACAAGGTCAAGTAACAAACTCCAGCTTTCTCTCAATTTGTCATATGTATGTTTAGTCTTGATCTCCACTAATTTGTTTTCAGAAAGGACAGAAATAAATAATGCAAACCATGTACTGAATGCTGATTTCAATTTCAAATTTATTTTTACATAGTTTTTTCCTGTGTGAAAACATTAGTTCTGCTCTGCTTTGTGTTCTTCTTCAGCTGACCCTCAGAGAAGGCCTCAGCAAACGTCTTACTTACATAGTGCTTGAGCACTATGACTTTCACTGAGTAGTGGAGAAAATGTCTGATCCTATCAGAATTTTTTTACACAAAGAACACATTAATTTAGGTAGGGCATAGAGCTCATACCTGCATATCTGAGGCATAATTAATGCCCTGTAGGTAAGTTAACTGTGCTAAGTTTTCAGTGGAACATTGTGTGTCCATATTGAGTGACAGCAGATGAATACACAGACACCACAGAGGATAGCAACAGAATCATTGCACTCAGTGCAAAGAGTCTGAGAGAAATTACAGTATAGGAATGATTTATAATGGAGTCCTTGAATGTATCTTGCTTTACCACCCAGCTGAGCACTAATGACAGAACAACAGATCATATTTCATTACACGGAATATCAGTGTAAAAAACTGTGTAAAATCAGTGTAAAATTAAAAAGTGCTATGCCAGTTTTCCTTAGGTACGTCTACCCATCCTGAACATGACTATCAAGAAGACATGTGCCACTAATCTAGAATACAGTTAGGCTGCCAGTGCCTCAAAGATAGACGCGTAGTTTAACCTTACACAGGGCAGGTGAATGCATTGAACTAGGTGTAACTGATCACAGTGTACTGAGGCAATTACATGTGCAAGTCCACGGTGTTTGAGCCCTTGGCATACCAACATCTGAGAAAGCACAAGAACAATACACAGCATGCTTCTCTTAAGACTTATGAGAAATTTTCCATTCCTGAATATTCAATTAAATATTTGTTGATAATACAGGGAGAAGGAGGAATGATGGCTAGCTATGGTTACAGCTGGCACATCTCCTGAAGCAGTAGCTAGACATTACTCTTGGCAGAAGGCACACCATCATTACTTTAATTGTGTGTGCCACGTGTGCTCATTGGCCTTGCAGCTGTCTGCTGCATACTTTGTAGTAATTTTTCTTGTCTCTTCTGTTTCACTAGCTCCTAATGTGGCTCCTTCTGATGTTGGAGGAGGGGGTGGAAGCAATCGAGAGCTGACAATAACATGGATGGTAAGTATTGCGCATGCAAGATGGCATGAAACCTGTGCTATCTTATATCTGATCTTGCTGCTCCTGAAACCTGTGGATGCTTTGTCTCTGGGTCTTGTAAGAACAGGATTTGTATATAATATATAGTTTTTCAGACTTTTCTCATGAAAAAGTACATCAAAAGGAATGAGGAAGAGAGTACCTTAGGGGTTCATATGTTGGACATTTCTAAAATATCATCTAAAACATTCTAAAATCAAGGGATTGAAACACATACTGACTATGATAATGCATCATTAAAAGCAGTCTTCATTCTGCTGTTGAAGCAATGGTTTTGAAAACTTACCTGTACTGTAGATATAGGTAAAGCAAGAAGGAAAAAGAGGAACCAAGGTAAGAGGAAAGAAAATGGCAGCACAGGAGATGATAAGGATTTATAAACAAAGTTGCATAGGCAAAAGTAGCATAAAACAGAGAATTGAAATCTACTGCAGGGTATTTGGGAAGCTAGGGAGAAGAAATAATAAAAAAAAATATTGTTGAATTCATGTCAGGGCCTATCAGTAGCCAGGAAAAACGAAGTTACAGCAGTATTACCTCTGGCAAAGAAAGATGGTTGTGTTACGCTTGAGAAAATTACCAAGTTTGTTTTCTGTTGTCCTCTCTGTTCTCTGTTGTCCTCTCTGTTCTCTGTTGTAGGGCTGTGAGATACATAATGCACATTTTGCCGTTTGTGTTTTTTGGGGAATAGTTGTTTCATTGTAGCAGCTGAATTGCCTCTAGGAAGAGTGCTTTTTCTTGGGGGAAGTAATGTAAAGATGTCAAAATTCCAATTGCATGTATGTTGTGCAGGGATTCTCCTTATGAATAAGCAGATTTTAATCCATATGCATATTTTCTTCTTTTTGTACTTAGGATTGATCATATATCTGTGAAAGTTCTCAAGTATGACAGAAATAGCCAGCCACATCTTTGATCTATCAGATTTGTGCTTTCCTGGCTGGGGTTTTTGGGGGGTTTTGGGGTTTTTTTGGGGTTTTTTGGGGGTTTGGGGGTTTTTTTATTCAATCTTCCTAAGTATTTTAGCAGTGAAGAAAAGATTTCTAAGTTTCTGAAAAAAAGAGGTCCACAGTTCTGTTACAATATATTGGAAATGTTGTATCTTAGCTTCCCTAATAATAGGTTAGGAAGTAAAAGTGTCCTAATTGGCTGAATTCTGGTCTCTTTATTTTTGAAGAGCAAAAGAACTCATGCAATGGGCAGGTGCAGAAGACCTACATTATTTTACTTCACAAGCTTTTCTTCTAAAAACTTTAACAAAATACAGAATGCTGCTTCTTGCATTGTATGTGAAGACTGGCACTCGTGGCATTTCCAATACAGTGATAATTTGGCTGTGACCGAACTAAAAAAAGAAAATATAACCAGGAGAATAGTGACTAATGCAAGACCAGAAGTACAAGATCAGTTTAGTATTTCCTGTAGACCCAGGCAGATTTATATTCTCATTTTTTCTCTTACCTAATGTTATGCTTTTCACATCTGTTTTGGGTAGCTCCTTTAGTGAGATAAATTAAGCATGGTTTCAAGCATTTATTTCCCAAGAATGTTCTATCCTATGGGTTTTTAAATAGAGACTGTAGATTCGCAGAGTCTGACAGACAACAATATATCTATCTGTAAGGCTAAGATAAAAATATATATTGATTCCCCCAAATGTGCTGACATTTGCATATGCTACTCTAAATAGTCCTTAATTAAGAAGAGAAGAACAAAATGTATGGCAGGTTCACATGTTGCTGCCAACCCCTTTTCAGCTTCTTCTATGATTCATAAGCCCAGGTTGAATGAGACAGCCAGAGATGCAATCAAAGCTCTTCTAAGACTTGTTTTGAAAGAGGAACTGAGAAGGAGAGCTAGGAGTGGCATGCCCATTCTTCCTCATTTTTCCCCATTTGTGTTTTCCTCTCCCATTTTCTTTTTCAAAGTTTTCAGTGAATTCTACAAACTATTCAGCTACTTATTATGTGCAGCCATTGGAAGGAAAGCTGCTTTCAAATTTCATATTAGACCTTTCAGAGTATAATTTTTATGTGCCATCCCTGGCTTCTAAAGTTTGCTCTGGCTGAAAATCATTCTGAGGCTAGGGCCTCATCCAGTCTGCTTACTTTGGCATATGAGATCTAATTCTGGTTTATTTTAAACATTTAGTTACATTTAGTGATAGATTCAGAAGATCAGCTACATGGAAGTTTCATAAAACCTTGCTCAGAATATCTCCACACATGTTAGCTGAAGTGCTGCAGTAGAGGACAAACACCTAAGGAGAATAATTACTCTCTGTGTCACCTCTCCAAGACCTTTGCCTCAAGATGAGCTATTTCATCTCTGTGAGGTTTCCATTAGGGAAAAAGGTGATGCAGAGAGCTTATTTTCCAAGGATGCTTCTGGTCAACCTCCTGATGCACAGATGAATGATGTTATTTTGGCTGGTTGGGTACAGTGTCTAATAGTTGTGGTAAAAGCTCTATGGACTGAGAAGGGATCACTGACTGTAGAGCGTTGGTAAAAGAAGAAAAATGCATTATGGCAGATTGTCTTCCTTAATTTGGTCTTTTCCAGTATTCCTAGGTACAGGAGATTAGCTATAGTTTTAAGATATACTTTGGATAGGTACCTTGAATGCCTGCACTGAAAGTGGGAGTCATTTCATTAAAAGATTTGCCAGTTAGAAGCTAGGTAGTCTAAATCAGCATCTGGATCCCCTCCATCATCAGCGAAAAGTGGTAGGATAAGTCATTCTTTGAATGTGTCCATCTTTCCTTGTCAGCTGTGCCAGTTGCCTAGATGACAAACTTTCAGTAAATTAATATAATTTGGGCCAGCCATATAGATTTTCTCTTCACTGTGATTCTTTTGCAGGAATATCTATCTCCACACGTACATGGACCCCTATACTGGCATAATACGTCTGTGTTACATATCTGCTGTGCCTCATTCCTTAGGTCTTTTTTTCTGTATTATTACACAATTATTCTTGGTTTCTTTCTGTGGGAGATAACATGGTGTGTGTTGCACTGAGTTCAGATGAGGAAAAAGTTATTAAAATGTTTTCCTAGCAAATACACTAATACTGGATATCTAACAGGGCCTATTTTAAAGGGGGTAGAAGCAAGCCATTGAAGGAAACCAGGATGAAATGGAGGTTTAGTTCAGTGTTTTTACAATATACATATCAATGCTTTCTGCATTATTTATATTTAATTCTAGACCTAGCTGTTTAGCAAAAATTATTTTTTGTCTCTACAGCCTTTGTCAAGAGAATACCACTATGGCAATAACTTTGGTTATATAGTGGCCTTCAAGCCGTTTGGTGAGAAAGAATGGAGAAGAGTTACAGTTACTAATCCTGAAATTGGCCGATATGTCCACAAGGATGAATCAATGCCACCTTCAACTCAGTATCAAGTAAAAGTGAAAGCTTTTAACAACAAAGGGGATGGGCCATTCAGCCTCACTGCTGTCATTTATTCAGCGCAAGATGGTGAGTAAATGTTCCAAATGAGTTTTACACTGTGGGTCTAGATCAGCACTACCGACACCCGTAGAACCTTGTCCTTGGCACTGATTTTTATAGCAGGATACGTCTTCAGCAGGGAGGTTGTGCATTGCTTGCACAAAACTCTTGTTCTGAATGGCCAGCTTCCACTTTCTGCTTTCTGTGTAATGCAGAGCACCTGGCTGTACTTGCTGGCAATAAGCAATACACAGCAGGATGCAAGATTATTCACACAGCTTGTTAAAAGATTTAAGAATATTTAAAAAAAAAATATTCTCTTCACAGTGGTCACCTAAAACATTTAGATCTTTATTCAGCAATGTCTCTGTGATCTTGGCACATGTATTTGACATATGCTTAGTTTTCTTCTTCTTAACAGACCACACTAAAGCCTAGCATTTGAGGTCAGTATCAGAATTTAGCCCAAAATTGTGAAAGAATGATAGTTCAATTGTATCTAGTTACATTTCCAGCATGTTTAGAGTCTCATATAAATTATCCCTGTTATATACTTTATTCTGGTTTGCATGTTAGAGCTATCAAGTGAGTAATTTAATAGAAACCTCTTTCACATTCCATTAAAATATTTTTCTTAATTCTTACTGTAATTGTTTTACATGCTGCGAAGTTTAGGATTGAAGTTTAAATGACATTTCCAAACTTAGAAGAAGAGACAAAGTACTGGAAGAAAGTTTACTTTAAATCAGAAGAAATATATACAACATCTTTAATTGCGTTATCATCACTCAAGCCTGTTCTAAAAAAACACTGTTTATTAATTTCTGCCAGAAACCCAAAGAACTGCTAGTATTTTTATTTCCGTAGAGCAAAATTTCCATGAAGTCTACAGATGTAGACCAAAGAGCCAAGAGGAGGGATATGATCACAGGGCCACATTCTCACACTTCCGATTCTGTTCTGTACTCTGTGTACTTTATGGGAGATTTGTGTTCATGGTTCCCATTAGCGCTAATGGGAACTTCGCTCACAAATCGGCCACACACAGAGAAAAGACGGAAGAGTCCTCAATCCCAAGCTGGCTGATGGGGATTATACTAATCTTTTTTCTCAGAAAAGCACACCTTAGCAAATCATCTTCAACAGCTGCTGCAACACCAGAAAGGGGTTTTTTTCCAATTGAATAAGTGTGTTAGTAAATAGCTATAGTATAAAGAAAGGAATATCAATCAATTACACTTAAGTATCCATCCCTCCTCAGAGACTTTATCGACAACTGACTGATAAGCTCCCATGTGTTTATGTTAGGATTATCCATACCATGTCAGGAGTGGTAAGTGTGTTTGTATGGTCTCCAAGTGCAGGGAAATGGTAGAGTCTAGTAGCTCAAAACGACAGAGGAAAAGCAAATGTGCAGTAGTGCCAGCTTCCAGATAAAGAGGTCACTTGAGTGGCTGCTGATGTTCTAACACAGACTTTAGCAAAGTGCAAATACCTGATGAAAAACATTTGTGGTTAAATGATCCCAGATGCAGACTGCAAAAGAAATAGAAGCTCTGTGAACCTACTCCTTTGATTTCAAGCACAAGAGTACAAACCTTACCAGTAGTGCTCACAGATCCTGTGCGGAGCTGTGACCCTGACTAGTGCCTATATCCTATCCAGGCACTTCAGAGCTGGTTAGAAGGAATTTTTCCAAGAGATGTAATGGAAGTTACTCTGAAGATCATTGAGGAGAGAATTGTCTCCTGGACATCTCCAGCATTAGCACATGAACAAAATCACTTCCATACCTTGTAGCATGCTTACTGGCTGCCAACCTGAACTTTGTATAGCTTTGCTTAGAAGATAATTGTGTGATGACCAACATATTTTCAGTGAAAAGACTATATTGTGATGAACACGTTTCTTTTTATCAGTAGAAATAATTAATTAGAAGACTGGAGGAAAGCAACTGATGCCATCTTTCTGGCTCAGGAGAGTCTGCAAAATATTTATAGAACATAAATGACAAATAGGGATGTAAATTATTTGCAGCTCATAAACAAGCATGAGCAGATTAAATATTATTAGAGTATTGTATCAGCAAAAGCCCTGGCAGCTGAAACTTTTCAGTGTGAAATTTTTTGGAAAGTTCTGTAATGGATACAGTAGAGAAGAGTCTGACAGTGATTTGGGAATAGATTAGATGATCACAACTATTCCACCTATACTTCTGTACCCATACAGATGTATATAAATATCCATATATACATAAATATAGTGACAGCTTTTCCACTAAGTTGTGTATTCTATAATAGATCTATGTTTCTCTAGTTGTAACTTTGGGCATTGTTATTCCCTTCAGTGTCTAGGGAATTTCTGTGTTCCCAGAGAGTAAGCCAAGTTCCATGTCTGACAACTGCTAGTCATATCTGCCATTGCTAGTAGTAAGTAATGATTGCTAGTAATGAGTGCACAGGCCTCTTGCTTATCTAAATTCCTGTCATTGTGAAAACAATTTTGCAATAATGTATAATTTTTTAATTAGACATTTGCATTATTAACAGCCATTGAAAGACAATTACAAAAGGTAACTTTGCATATAAGATTATTTTGTTACCTAGGATACTTTTCATGAGAGATGTTAGTGATTTTTTTCTTAACAGTGGCTGTTTTGATGCATAGTTGACTGGATGCCCAGTTGGAAGATTAGGTATATGAAAGCTTTCCCCAGCTAGGGCTGCCATGCCTGTCTGTTGCAACTTGTTTCAAAAGGTTCACGACAGAGAACTGTTGTTAACTCGGAAAACTTTATCTTTTGCAGACATTGCTAAGTTTATGCCTTTCTTTATTCCTTACCTCATTTAAAATTCAAGCAGCAGTGAAATGAAACTAGACTGTAATATTCTAAGCCCTGGATAAAGGTCAATCACATTATGATGGTCTGTATTCTATGTTGTCTGTTGTTCAGAACTAAGAATACAAACAAAATCAACCTTATGATGTATGCCTTACTGAAAGGTGCTTTGGATTATTTCACACCTATGTTCATGTTTGTATGTGCCACTTGGCAGCTGTGTATCTAATAACTGCTCTCACAAAAAATTTGTATTATTAGGACTGAGCAGCATACACGAGTATTTGTGTGTAACTAACTTTAAAAATCTTATGTATATAATATGTGAGCTGCTGTCCCATTTAGTAAAAGATCACTGGATGCTTCAAAGGCTTTATCAAAGACTGTTTTCAGTTTACACAATTTCAGCATGAAATCTGTTGAAGCGTAAAAATATGTAGTCTGAGCCAACAGGATCATTGCTTTGTTTTTACAGCATTATTTTCCTTACAGATCATCACTGGACTTGAAGTTTACTCAAGAAAAACCAGATTAAATACTAACACTTAGCTCAGTGATATCTGGAAAATTATATAAAATACTGAAAATAATATAGAATACTGAAGGCAGGAGAATCCCTGTAAACAAGTATAAGCTTACCACAGGAATAGATTGAATGTTTAACATATGTTTCATCTTCCAGCTCCAACTGAAATACCTACAGATGTGAGTGTAAAGGTTTTGTCATCTTCTGAAATGTCTGTTTCTTGGCACCATGTTTCTGATAAATCTGTGGAGGGATATCAGGTGAGTTTAGTAGTGACACTGTCAATCTATTTATTAATTTACTGTCAGTAGTTAGAGCCAACAATAATTCCTACTCTGGCATTCCATCTCTTAGGGTTCACTTCTCTTTAGTTAGCATGCTCTGTGCAGATTTTGGATCTTGAGAAAGAGATTATTTTTGGTGTTATGTACTTCATTACTAAAATAGATTAAGAAATGTATATTTGCACTTTTCAACTAACGAAAGGCACAATTATTTAATGAAAGAACATTGTCTCTTTTGTGTAATTGAATGCCTATCTATAACTTCTTAAAACATATTGAAATTAAATTGTGGGTGTAATTTCCAACACATGCAAAATTGTAGCTTACTCTGGCCCACTTAAATTACTATCAGTTATTAATATATTTCACCCACAAACCCTATAGTAAGTGGGACTACTTGACAAATGTCAAAATCAGAGACACTGCTATTGTGCAAGACAGTGATGTTTTCTTGCTGGTTTCTATTCTCTGCATGAAAAAGAGCTTTAGGGCATGTTCCATCAGGTCCATCTCAATGGTGAAAATTGTTCTTGTCCTTCTGCAGAGATAACAACACACAGGCTGGGTGCAATGAGAAATGGCCATGTAGTACCGTAGCAGGGAAGATTTAACATCATCCATGCACAGTGCATGCTGGCAAACTCTGCAATGTACAGTCTGCTTACTTTGGCTGCAACCCAAAATAGGGTTTGGGTCTTTAGTTTGTTAGTGACTTACCTTGGGATTTAAGTTTTCAGCTACTTGAAGATACCCTCTATGTTCCAAAATAAGGACATGCAAATGAGTAGCAATCTCATGGAATGTATTTTTTAAATTAAAATCTATTAATAAATAAGTAATACTTGGGGTTTTTTTCATTTTCTGGTCTCTGTTTCTGTCTCCATGAGATTTATGTAAAACCTTTGTGATACCATAACAAGAATAGTGTCCCATGTAAAGGTTGATTTTATACAGTACAGATGTAAAGTCTTAAAATTACAAAAAGAGGGCACTGGGGGTTGAAATTAAGACACTAATATCAGTGATAACTCCTAATTTACTAAGGCAGCCCACTGGTTTGGTGTCTCATAGGGATTTTGCAGTTAGAATAGGAAGGACAAATTGATGGTCATAGCTGAGATCTGCGAGCTGAGCCTGGACAGCCCTGTAGCAGCATTGCACTGCCAGGCTGGACAGTCTGCCCAGAAACTGAAGCCTTCGCGTGCAGAACACACACCTGGCAGGCACACACCAGGGGACTTCGGGAATGTGGAGAGTGGCAGCTGGTGGAGAGTGGCAGGTGCTCTCTTTGGTGGATAGAACAGCAACAAGGAGTGCTGGTAGAGGCTGGGATTACAGTTGTGCTAGACCATGAAGATGGATGCTCAGAGTTGTAGTAGGGAATAGGGTAGTAAAGCAGGAGGAGCAAAGGTAAATGTGGAAAGAACATGGTAGGAGAGCATGCCCATAGGCAACCCATGTTTGGCCATTTTTTAAAAAATTTTACCTTCTTTGACATAAAGACATCTGAGTTGTGTCAGGGGACATCAGGGGAAGAAGGGAGAAGAGAGGATTTAGCAGGAAAGGCCAGGATGAATGGAACAGTCAATAGAAAAAAAAAGAAAAAAATCAGAAAGAAATGTAGGGGATCTTTGGGCTGAAAAGAGAATAACTGTTAAAAAGGTGGGATATCCTGGGAATTGACCATTTGCTACATGGACTATGGATGTTTGGGGTGTGGCCTTGTTTTGATAGCTGTAGTGTACTTTAATCTACCTGTTCCTGGAGAAATACACTTTCACAAATCCAGCATGAACTGACTGGCTTGTACATGTACAGTGAGGAGCTACATTAGAATATAAATGTCTTCTTTTTTTTCCCCTTCTTTTTCTAAGACAATCTTCTGATTATCAGGACTATGTAAAAGTTTCCATCTGGCTAGATGATAAACAGACTGATAGTCCCAAATTACTGCCCCAAAATGCTCAGTAAGGTGTTAATTCTGAGATATTTTTCCCCAGGGCAATCACCAGTTTCACTCTAGTAGAGGAGATGGCAGCAAAAGGAAATTCCTTGCTTCTTCACTGAGAATAAAAAGAAAGACTTGTGTTCCTGAAGATCAGAACCCCCATGAGTCCTGAAGGAGCCATAGGACAGGGCTAAAATAGAGAGGGGTTGTTCTGGAAGGTTAAGGCTGCAGATAGCATTTGTGAAGTTGCACTAAAAGTTGTGGTGGAAGGAGCATTCAAAGTTCATTATAAAATTCTAGTAACTATCTCTGGAAGTCTCTGTGTTTATTGGCATTGATAAATAGTTAACTTTAAATTACTGCTCAGGTGTAACACAGGTTAATAGATACCATCATTCACCAGAGCACCTTCTCAGTTTCCTTTTGGTCTTTATTATTTCTTGAAAATTGCATAATTGACTTTTGAATGCTAGAATTTAAGAGGTGGGAGTGTCCTGAGCAAAGAACCTGAGGTATTTCACCTGTGACACAATACTTCTCACACCAGGAGGAGTCAGATTTTCCTGACACTAATGCATACTGTCAGGATGACTGCCCCATGGTGATGAGTGTGAGCTGATACGTTTTGCCATTACAGAGGAGTGTCCTCAGCTCACACTTAAAGAAGAGATAAAGTATGAAAATTATCTCCATCCATACAGAGAATTTAAGATTGATGAGTTCTTACAATAGACTGCTAACAGGCACATCTCTGCAGTGCATGCAGCACCAGTGACACTATCTGTACTTCATGTTGCTTCTATGCAATAGATGTAGGTTTATTTCATTAAACAAATTTATCACTACTCACCACCATTGTCTCCTCTAGACTGAAATATGCTATTAGCATTCTTTCTCAATATGACTGAAGTAGATTTTTGTGTCAGTCCTGTGTAGAACCTTCAAGAATATGGGAGCTTTGTTTCACAACACTTACAGAAACAATTTCAGTATATTAAAGTTTGAATAGAGGAGAAGACCATGAAATACAGGTTTTCACCTGATTTTTAACACAGAGGGCTGCACTAATTCATGATGGCTAAGGCATTCCTTTGCACAAATCCCAGTTGGCTGATTTCCCACAAAAACTCTAGAGCTTGGCTGAAATCCCCTTCTGTGTCCTCTGGGGATTCATTGCCTATGGATTACCCTAACACAGTAAATGCAGAGGACCAGGAATAAGAAGGCTGTCTGGGGCTACCATATAAGCTCTTTAAAAGAGAGAGGGGCTACTCAGTAGAGTGGGGAAATGTGACCCCTTGAGGCAATGTGACATTTAATTCCAAAGGCAAGAAAGAAATTTCCAAATTATTTCAAGAAATCTTGAAATTATTTAAAAATAAAGTGAGAAATATAGGAATAGTACAAAGAAGACAGTCGTTTTCTCAGCTCTCGGGGAATTTTTTTTTCTTTTCCATGAGTTGTTACAATGATCCAAATATGTGTATTAGAGAAGAACTTTCTGTGTTCATGACATATAGACCATGCACTATAGGGGTAAAGTCCACAACATTGCAGCTAAGAACTATTGTATTTGGGATTTAAATTTTATTTAATCTTTAAATTTTATTACTTCTGTCTGAAATGTAATATGTTCTTGGTGAAGAAATTTGCATTTTCATTCATTGTTCTCACTTGTCTTGTTTGATGCTCTATCTTACTCTTGTATTATACCATTAGCCTCCCTGTAGTACAAACGAACATTAAGATTGTTAGAAGCTTTGCAAGGCAGAGGAATTCAAAGGCTTCCAGAATATGCCACATGATTAATAAAAGGTTCATATAAAGTGTGTTTTCTATCTTTAGGTAAAGCTGTTACTTAATTAACATAATAGATCCCACAAAAAAAAATTAATTATTTTTAGTATGATCTAACGGCCAGCTAAAATCAACAACAAAGCTACTATTGGTCCTGCCATGGTTAATAAACTTTTGGCCACCTAGAACTTTGCAGACATTCTTTTGCTGCAGGCTAGAAACTTGTTTGAACTTAGAGATAGACATGACGTTCTCTAGCTCCTGATGTACACACCCTCTCTCACCTGAGTCAGCCACTTACTGTTAACACCTTATGGTGTACAGCTGGTTGCATTCAACAAGACCTGCTTATCTACAACAGTGTGTTAATTATAATCATATAAAAAACCCTCTGACTTGAAGATCACTATCAGACCTTCAGCTGAAATGACTGTCACAGTTTCAGATCCATGCCAGTTTGAAACCAGTCATCTGGTGGAGGTTGCCACTCTACTGCTGAAGCGTGCAGAATGGACTGGGTGCAGAGTCCTCATTTTAGGGTAAAGGCTGTTTACTTGGGAAAATAGCCACCTTTATAAGTATGAATTTTATGAGTGTGATTGCCTAAATTACAGTAAACCAATGTTTAGGATGCTAGTGGATTATACTTTCTAAACACAATGCAGGACTTACATTTATAGAACTGAAGATTGTCTTTTTGTGCCTGCTGGAAATCAGGTATGCATGCTGAACTTAAAAAGCTAATCCAGTTTGGTCTGCAGATACAGTGTGATTCTCCCTGCAGCAGGAAAGAGTGACAAAGGCCACTAAGATGTCAGATTTATAATAATCAGAGTGAGTAAACTGTAACACTGGTGGGCATGATTGTGGCAAAACCCATTGACAAGAGACAAGCTCCAAGAAGTATTTAGTTGACAGTAATCTCTGGGTAGTGATACTGTTCTCATGTCCAAAGACATTTGAAGTAGGTAAAGAGAAATCCACTGCTAAATCCCCTGCATCTCTATTTATTCAACCACAGCATGTATTCTAAGATAAAAGAAAGCAATTTTTTTATTAAATATTGTAATTTAAATGTAAATGGGAGAAAATAAAGCCTCACCAAAAAAGGATTGTACCCACAACTTATAAAGAAGTTGTGATATTAACACTTTGACAGACCATCAGTTCTTCTAACCTGTTCCTTAAATGAAGTTTTGATGGACAACTAATGTCAGAACAGAAGGTTAAAGCAGTTGCTATTTAAAAGACAATATGACAGGATACCAATAATGTCTTACAAAATAAGATTTTTCCTAGATCCTGAATTTACCAACACTATTAACATCTTCTTAAAAAATTTTAAATGCTCTCATGTAGCATACACAAAATTCATTATGAAGTCAGGCAGAAGCTGAGCAGAAATGCTGAGGGTGAAAACACTCAGAACCAAAATGCAATGGGCATGGCTTTCTGCTCTTTCAGGTTTGTGCAGTAATTTAGTCTTATGCAAATGATTATAAACCAGACAAAACCCAAAGACTGACGCTGTTTCACTCTCATTTGCATCTCACAAGGCCATGCAGAATAGGACCCTGTGTATGTGAGGGACTGTATGGAATGGCATCACTCCTTAGTAATTACACTGTTTTCACCTGGTGCTTTGTAATGCATAATGAATTAAAGTAGGATGGAACAAGTTCTTGGGGGAAAAAAAAAAACAAAACCGAACCCTAATGGAATTCCTGTGTACTCTTAATTGGCTTTGGTTTTTAAGGTGTTACAAGCTTATAGTCATGTTTTTCACATATTTTAAGTATTTTCATGTACTTCTTCATCTACTTTGACAAATGTTATATTGTGCTATGAAACCTAATTGAGTTTAGCTGAAAAACTCCAGAAGATAGTTACGTACACCTCTCCAGACCCACACATGCAGCTAACTTTGCTTTCTGTAGGTAGAAGTACAAAAGGCCTAAATTTGTAAGACATTCAAACAAAACATACCAAAAACATTCTCAGGGTTTAGTCTCTACTAGTGTAAGAAATAATAATGCAGCTAACTTTGCTTTCTGTAGGTAGAAGTACAAAAGGCCTAAATTTGTAAGACATTCAAACAAAACATACCAAAAACATTCTCAGGGTTTAGTCTCTACTAGTGTAAGAAATAATACTAAAGTTCAGAGTAGAATGCAAAAACAAAAGAGCAAGAAGAAAAAAGTCTTGTTCTTTGAAGGCATTATCCAGCTCCCAGGCTTCTAGTGACTTAGCTAAGAACAAATTAAACCACTGTAAGAAAAGTTCACAATAATAAATTCTACATTTATTTCTGTTCCTTTATGCCTATACATAACTTGGTTGAAATCACAGCCTGTAGAAGGAATTCTATGCTATTGCTGTTAGATTTCTTTTAGCTGGCTTATATCTGAATATATAGTTTAGAAATACATCAGTTTTATTAAAATTTCTTTATGATTAAATATATTAAAGTTAATCCTCTGATTGGCATGCTTACAGATTCGTTACTGGGCTGCTCATGATAAAGAAGCAGCTGCACAGCGGGTGCAGGTGAGCAATCAAGAGTATTCAACCAAACTGGAAAACCTGAAGCCTAACACTCGCTACCATGTGGATGTGTCTGCCTTCAACAGCGCAGGCTACGGACCTCCCAGCAGCACCATTGATGTTGTTACAAGGAAAGCACGTAAGTAAATGGGATGTTAGGTCAAGTATAATCATGTCCATCATGTTTTAAAACATGACTTCTCATTCATATACCAAATGTTCTCTCCTCATATGGTGTTGCTTCTTAGTCTGAAAATTTCTGATAAAATTCTCCTTCCTCTCTTTTGTTGCCATATATAATGGGGATATCTTACAAAAGGTGGTAAAGAGGCTAAGATTATAGGCTCCAAGGAGGGTCACCTGAAAGCTCAGATCAGGTTGCTCAGCGTTTTTTCCAGCTGAATCTTGACAACCTAAAGGGGTAGAGACTGCACAACCTCTCTGAGAAACCTATTCCAGTCACTGACTTATTCTGAGTGTCTAGTCTGAGACTCTTAATCAATATTGTGCATTTTTGTTACTTGTCCTCCTTCCTTGCCATCCAAGAGCCTGGATCCTTCTTCATAAACCCCCTGTCAGGACAGAGCACTCTTAGGTCCCCTCCAAAACTGTCTCACCTCCAGGTTGAACAAGTGCAGCTTTTTCACCCTTCCTTCACAAATCAAGTGTTCCACATCCCCACCAGGTTGGTATTGCTCTGTTGAACTCACCCCAGATTACTAGTGTCTTTCAAGTATTGGGAATCCCAAAGCTGGCCACAATATTCTAAATGATGAGCAGTTGAGACCAGCTATTACTTCGGCATCTATACACTGCCTTTCTGTTTTGTCAGTGATGATTAAAATGTGACCGGCTGCCATTTCCACCAGGAGCAGAGCAGCAGATTCAGGGAGCCTTGAGAAGTAGGTGATCTGAATCTCACCCTAGAATTAACATACCATAACAGGTTTTTGAATATTGCTCCTGACTCAATGAAGATACCTAGCACTAGCATTGATTGAACAATGTGAGAAATGCATCTTGTGTATTCAAAATGCAATTATCTGGGCTTAGAATGCATACAACTAATTTGAGGATCTCTGTCAGTAAATAGTGTATTGTGCAACTTGCACCAGCAGGGTTCATTAATAAAAGTCCATTTTATAAGCTTACTGTATAAGTTATAATTAATGGTTTCTGCAGTGGCGTACTGTTATTTCTGCTGATCTGAGGTAAATGATGTAGAAATGGCTGTAAATAGTTGATTGAATATTTGATCTCAATGAATAAATGTGACTTATGCCACATTTCTGGGAGGTTCTGAAGGTAGTTGCATGCCAGCAAACTCTGGTGGTCAGCAACACAATGAAGGGTAATGTTGGCCACTTCCATTCTGGCAACACAGAAAGGAAGACCCACAATGCAGCCGCTGCACACAGACATCCAAAATTGTCTGGCTGGAGCTGTAGCAGTTCATTCCAGGAAGGAGACTATCCCTTGCTCATATATAGCCTAATTTCCATTTTCACATTTTTACATTTTTTATGTATCTTAATAAAAACACCACTGAACATTGATGAAATCTCATTTATGTGTACATTATACATATGTTGCTTTTCAGCTCCAAGCCAACGCCCAAGAATTATCAGTTCTGTAAGATCTGGTTCAAGGTACATCATCACCTGGGATCACGTGAAGGCAATGTCAAACGAGTCCGCTGTCGAAGGATACAAAGTAAGATATCTGAAAATATTTTTTATCTTTATGTATGCTTCGTGTAGTGCATTTTATAGACAGTGTTGAATCTTTGTACGTAATCAGGCTTACACATACTTGAATGCTGAAGAGGAAGATATCATGCTCAGCTATCCAGTAGGCCTAGGGCAAAGCCAGTGGGCTTAGTCAACATGATGAGAAAATATAGGGGGACTGAAATTTATTTGGGTGGTAAAACATATTGTGGGAAAGTCCATAGCAGTGACTGCAACAACCTCATTTCCCATATGATCACATTTATTGTATGCTAGTTTAAAATAATGCACAGAAAAGTTATACACTTTATAGTTTTTCCTTTTATCAGTATGTATTGTTTCAGTTTTCCGTTCCCATCTCCATGGGGGTTACAGTTCCTGAAACATGAGTTTTTAAAGTCTGGGAAGGTAGACAAAGGGAAGAGACCTCTACCATCAGTAGATGCAGTTACTCTGTAACCACAGCAAGTGTATCTACTGACTATAGGGCATATAGAAAACTTCAGCTTTTAATTCCTGTCTAATGTAGCTACTTGCTTGGCACTAAGAAAATTAGTATCATATTCTTCATTTGCAAAGTTGATTGAGGAGTTGAACTCCTTCCTGGGAATTGCTGATAATGTTTCACCGAGATTATTTCAGAAAGAAATGGGATCTTTTCTAGAGGTCCCACAAGACATGTACCATCCTATTTGCAATAGTTTTGCATCATTGAGAGCTAATAATAAAATTGCTAATTGTCTCATTTATGAAAATGGTTATACATTTTATGTCAGAAAACCCAGCTGGATTCTCATATTTTTATTTGATGGTCTCTGCCACCCTGCATTGATATTTTCCATCACTTAATTACTTATTTTGAGTGTAAGTGCTAAAATTATTTTTCAAAAGATGGCATAATTTTGTAACAGAAAATGAGAAGACATCCTGTCTAAATTCACTCTGTGTAAATATGGAAAAAAGTTGTATTAGCCACTAAGTTTATATATATATATGTGTGTGTGTGTGTGTATGTCTATATATAGTTTTTCATGTAAATAAAAACCCAATACTTTTTCATTGACACACTGTACATACAGAAATGTATCTTCATGGAAATGTAACATTTCATTAACTGTATTTACCATGACTTTCCTAGGTACTTTATAGGCCAGATGGACAGCATGAAGGCAAGTTGTTTTCCACTGGAAAGCACACGATAGAGGTCCCAGTCCCCAGCGATGGTGAATATGTTGTTGAGGTGCGAGCACACAGTGAAGGAGGAGATGGAGAAGTAGCCCAAATAAAAATTTCAGGTGAGAAATAACTTCCCTTTTTCTTTGCCACACTCCTTGGAAATTTTGGACTGAGTGTTTTCCTTTTGCATGCTATTGAGAGATGGGAACATCCAAAATTAGAAAGGTATCCCTTCAGGAGTGACTGCACTGAGAATATGAGTATATCTTAAAACATTTTTGAGGACTCATAGGACACACACAGGACACTTCTGTAGCAGTCCAGCTCAATCCTGGAAGCACTGCCAATCTTCCAAATACCAGAGTGCTTTACTGGTGCCCCTGGTTAGGCTGCCACTTCTAGCAGTGTCCCACAAGCATAACTACACGGTGCAGACCTCAGGATCTAGGTGCCAGCTTGCAATAACCCCATAGCCCTAGCACCTTTTGCCTCTATCTCATTCCTCTGACAGCTGCCGCTAAAAGGAAAATAGAGAAAAGGAGTGGTCCACAGTGATGCACAGACTGCTTGCTGGGGAAGTTCCACTTCTCAGTGAAAAGGGGATCTGTGGCACAAAAATGATAAATAAGCAGTGAGAAGCTTCAAATGTTCTAAATCAGAGTGGTCTGGATGATTGGTAAAGAAGACAAGGAACTGTGGCTTAGGACAATTCAAACTGGGCTCAATGTTGACTATAAATACAAGTTCAGACATGGTGTGCACATCTCCTTCCTCTTAGTTTTTTATCTGAAGCAGTTCCTGGGCACTATTTGGTATGAAAGAGAACAAAAGAGTAGACATCAAGGAATTGGATAGTGTCTTTGCAAGGTTATAATTCCATCGCTTACATTGTATTCTTGTATTTTTAATTTAAAAAATTAACTCGGAGAATAGAAAGGATTAAATGTCAACAATATTCTTGTCACAGAAGCAATGCAATCATTATTGTGTCCTTTTGAAAATAACAATGCTTATGTTGGATTTGTACTGTGAGGGAAGCTGCCCGTGCCTAAAGGAGTGGACCTCCCATTTGCAGGTTTTCAATAATATATATGGCTTATGTAATCTGGTGTGAGCTCATGAGTATCACCGTTTTTGTTTGTATTAAGTTTTTATTTGGTTTGTATTTTGTTCTAATGGACACCTGCACAGTTGACATTTTTTGCCTATGTTTTTATTCTGTGTTTTTCTGGCTTTGGCGTTTGAGCATTGTTTCTTTTTGTAGCTGTTGTTAGATTAAAGAGTCTTTTTGTGTCTAATACATTGTTTCCATTAAGAAATGTATCTATACTAGCCACATGACTAATCAAATGTTTAAAACACTGTGTACATTGAATCTCTCCTCAATTACAGTCATCAGGTCTTAAATAATTTCATCAACTCTTTTCTTCACCTCTCCAGCCTCTAATACTTCCTTTAGATACTACACATGCACTGTGTTCAACTCAGCCGTCTGCAGAGATATTCTTGCCTCCCCACACTTAACTACTTCCAGCATTATTCATGAAAGGCTTTCATTAGCCATTTATTACCTTTCATGGGGCTATGAAATTATGTTCGTCTTGTTTGCCCAATACCATCTCTAAATCCTTCCTGGAATCCTTACTTTACAGGATACAGTATCTCATAATTTGCAGAGTACACCACAGTGTCATGTCTCTTTTTAACTTTATGTTGTATTTTGCCTGTGGCTATGGTAAAGCACAGATGGTTTGAATGGTTCAAGTCCCTGTGCTGTCTGAAGTTTTATATTAATTTTTGTTGTTTCTATTTGCCATTTTGGTTCCATAGGTGCTTACTTCTGCTGCTTTTGATATAAATATATGGATTGCATTCAGTCTACAGCTGTTCAGTGTGGAATCACAGTAGAAATTCAGTGCCCATTCTTTAATAATTGTGGTTTGAAATCTGCTGGTGACTGAATTCTTAATCCATTTAGCATACATGTTAATTGTGTGTACCATGTTCTATGAGACTATTTTGGGATAATAAGTCAACCACTTAAGAAAATCTGAAATACATTGTTGTATTATCATACACCAGGACAATCACTTTTAACGTATTTTATAAGCTGCAAAAATGTTTAGGCAATTGCTGTCTTCAGGAGATGTCCTGAGTGTCCTTGTATCAAACATGTATTAAAATGTGCCATTGGTGTGGTGCAAAGGGCCTTTAGGTCGCAGCTGGCAGATTAATTCCCAGACCAAAAGCATCGTGTCAGTGCAAAGTCAGGCCCAAGCTGATCAGTCTTGCCAAGACTATGACCTGTCCCAAGTATGCCTGTACAGAATTAGCACCACTGGGAGGGTTAGCACCCTGCTAATGCTAGATGCTGGTTTGCAGAGTTTTGCATTGAACTGTCTTCCCCACTGCAGACAAGTTCTCATCCATAAATTCTACCATACACCAGCTAGACAGACAGGGACTATGCCTCTGGTGACCTAGACAGAGACAGCATTCCCTGGACTCAGTTTAGGAAAATTTGAAAAAGAGAAAAAAGGCAAGGTATTCTCTTTGGAACACATAATATACAGCCAATCAGGAAAGAATTTCAGGTCATTTCTAGGCTGCTTTTCCAAAAAGCAGAACAAAGTATAGTTTTAACACCTACACATGGCAAATTATGTCTGCTAATTTTTATTCTTAAGGAAATCTTCCAGTACTGCATTAGGGTTTAGAATAATTATCCCAAAAGATCGAGTAGTTAAAATTTATTTAAATTACATCTTTTCTCAGAGAATTGCAAAGAAGAGAAGATGTAGTTTGATAGGAATGCATGTTTTGGTGCTTGACTGACCAAAATGGAAGTTACATATTTACACAGAGATGTAAACAATATCTAAAGCAAAACATAAAGCATCTTACCAAACTCAGAGAGGAGTATTGCCTTACATGACCTTTAGGCATCTGATTCCAGTGTTTGCAAACCTACCTAATTTTGTGCATAAGTGAATGGGGAGAATTAAGCAGCTAGGGCAGAGGTTCCAAATAGCCTATATGCTGACCAGGAATGGCAGGATCCTAAACAAGGATCCTACAACACCAGTGTGTCATCCAGGTGGGTGTTTCCCTGCTGTTCACTGAGTATCAAATCCAAAGTAATCTACATAATATGGCTGAGTTAGGTGTCTAAGCTCCCATTATAATCAGTTGTCATCTAGGGTGTAATTCAAAATGTTAAACAAAGCCTGTAGCATTTGAGATGCCCCAGTTTACCAGGGACATCCTGGGGCATCTCAAATGCTACGTCGAGGGACACAATTCTGACAGGCATGACATGAAATACAGGGGACCTGAGAGCTTTTGGATAGGCAGGTTATCTTTGTTTGGGACAAATTTGGAAGGGAACTCCCAAAGGGTTGATTCCTTAAAGGGCAAAATTCAGTGGTCCTTCTTTCCACCTGTTCAGGCGATAAACACCCTTCGAGAAAAGTGGAAAAAACTGTTTATTTAACAAGCAAAGATTTATAAGCATAAAAAATGAATAATATTAAACAATAAAACCTTTTGCTGTTTTGAAGAGAGGGCAAATTCAGAGAGCCCTTCTGTAGTTCAGAGAGAGTGCTCTGTGGGTGTTTCTTGGCTCACTGGGTTTCTCTCAGTCCCTCTGGTGCTGGAATGCAGCGTCCTGGGTCCTCAGTGGGCCACACGTGTGAGCTCACAGTATTTTTTCTGGGTTTTCAGTCCAGAGCAGGTTTGAACAGTTCCAGGAAAAGAAAAAGCAACAGTCTGGGGAACTTCTCTGCCTCAGCTAGCTAAAAACTAACTAAAAGCGAAGGAGAGCTCTCTCCTGCTCCCTGTCCGTGCTGCAGACAGTGTGCGCCGAGAGTGACCTGCAGCTCTTGTCTCTTTGTTTTTGAATACAGCCGTGAAAAAATTCCACTGCTTTTCCTTCTTCCCCGCCTTCACTCTGGGATCTATTTTTAAAGGCATAAAGCTTCTTTCTGGGCTAAACAGATGAATGGGAATGTAATTTAGCATCATAAAGTCATCCCAGGACACAGGTGGAGGCCAGACAGGACACCAGCACACATCTTTTATCCTATATTTCAGGTTCAGGAGCACTAACTGGCTCTGAGGTCCTAACATAGGAATTAAAATTGTAGTATGTTTTAACTAACATAATTACATTTGAAAGTCAAATAGAAAAGAAACTAGAAGTAGATTTTATTTCTATCTCAATTCCTTGTTCAAGGGAAAAACCTCCTTTTTGTTTTCCTCATCCTCATTTGTTGAGAGTGATACAAACAAAATTTACCAAAGAGTATCTAAAGCTATCTTGCATGCCTTTCTTGTTAGTGAACATCTTGAAATAAAAGTTCTTATCATAAAATAACTCTCAGTATATGTGCATTCCACATACAGCTATAATCAATGTAACATACAGCCATGATATTTTGTATTTTATTGGCCAGTGCCTGTTGTAGAGTAAGGAGCTTGGGGATATTTTTTAAGCCCATTATAGTAAGTTAATGAGCTACACAATTCATTCTTGAGTTACCACAACCAGATGAAGTTTGGAATGACTTGTTTAACCAATGGAGTCTTTTTCAAGAGTTAATAATAGGCTTATCTGTTTCCTTTGAAATATAGTAAAGGCTGAGAATTTTTTTTTGTCTCTTGCATGATTTTTGGACTGCTTTGTCATATTACTAATATTAGTGTAATTAAAACAATCTTGCAATCAGTAGGAACTAAAACCATATGGTGCTTGGTTCTTTTTTCACTTCACTTGTGTAACTGCACTGGCCTCAGTGCAGTTGCTTTATGCCAAAGTAAGGAAAAATAGAATCAAGCTCTCAAGTTTTAAAATTTCTTCCAGTGTGGGAAAGAGGGGAGGGTTACTCTTCTTAGTTGGATAAATATTGGGGAAGAATGGGAAATACCATACACCTTCAGCTTCACATGTGAAATCAGGTTAATGTCTCAGTTTTAACAGTGGCATGGACAAAGAATAATTTATGTATTGTATATGCTTATAGCAAGACAACAAAATTACAGTTTCTCTGTGTTCAGTGCACACACACATATATATACACATATGAATTCCATTTGCCAGAGGCATGTTTTAGGATCCTGA